CAAAAAACGCTTATTTCTTACCCTAACCTAACGGTATCTTTCTTTATCGCTTGAAAACATTTCAAATTACCTTCTTAATATGGTTATGTATAAAAAACCTTGGATATCCGTTTGACATTTTACTCAACACACGCTCTTTCCCCTCCTCATAATCTACATTATCCTGCCAGCGTGGCAGTGTCACTGATACAGCGTGCGGAGTATTTGCTGGAATGGGACAACCAAGTTCACTTGTGAAAAATTGTGTTGACATCGTATCTTGTTAAACCCTAACCTGAAAATCGACGAATTCGTAGATTTTTTGATGCTGAGAATATGACTCAACGTATGACAATGTATATCTGTATCAATATAAATATAAATAAAATATATTTTATTTATAATCCAGATTCAACAATATGGCTCTAATGTCTATTATAATATAAAATTAGGTACGAATACAATCTCCATTATATTAAATTAAATTAATCGTCATTTGCCTTTTATATAAATATATAATATGTACGTCTAATGAAGCCTTGAACGATGAATCTATCTGCTCATAAGCAAAGATGTTTAAAACTCACCATAAGTTTTTGCATCAAAAATATGTGATTCATCTTTAAGCTATCTGTGCCTCTTTTTCACCATTACTAATTGGTAGACCATCAAGTTTAAGATCGATACTTTCATTAGAACTCAAAGATTCTAAATCTTGTGATTCTCGTGTATCCCCATTCACAATTTTGATTTTTGAAACATTTTCGTTTAAGTTCCTTGATGCTTCATTACTTATATTGGACGAAATCAGTTCATCATAGTGCTCAAGTTCTTGATTTTTTTCATGTTCATGATCATCATCTTGTTCCAATATTTCTGAATCTATAATGTCGGATTCAAGAAAACTTTCTTCCAAACTAGGCACTTTTTGATCAAATTCTTCATTGTGATTCTTAATAATCGCGTCTGTTGAAGGTTCAATCACACTTGTATTCCATTCATCGCCCAAACTTTGATCTTGGTCTATGGTCAAAAAAGATAATTCACTATCCGATAGAGCATTAAATGATAGCGAGCTTTCCGTCTCCGAAGATGAGGTCTTATGTGATAGTGAGCTTTCTGTCTCCGAATTGTCGCTGCTACAGTCGTTTGAATCTCCATTAAGATAACCATTTTGGAAGTCAGCTTCATTCTGTTGATGCTTATAGGAATCGTCAATATTTGGAGATTTAATTGATTTATCGGGAAAATTCTCTATTACTTCTTTGGATTGAATCTGGGATTCTGGTTTTTCCACGATAATATTATCTTGATCATCTTCGTCTTCCGACAAAGGTCCCTCTGTCTCATGTGTTTCTCGAGTATTTTCTTTGGAATGGCCATTTGCAAAAAATTGGTCTTCATTTTCTTGATCCTCGTCGAGATATTCGTTCTCGATTTGGTCGTCTGATAACACCAAGTCTCCAGAGAAAGAAACAGAATTGTCTTTTACTATATCTGGAATATCAACCGTTTCTCCAACTGATCTTTGTCCCAAAGAATGATTAATTGGCGAGAAAAGATATTGACCATTAGAGGGTTTATCTGAAAATAATGGTAAAGTGTAAGAGTCCTTTATATTTTGCTTTCCTTTATTGATATGTCTTAAAGACTCTCTTTCGTTATCAATGTTCAATCCATTCTGGGAATAGCGTGAAGGACCACCGTTAATCTCATTCTCATTTCCTGGAATTGGCGGCGGTACGGAGATTTCCAAATTATCCGGTAAAATAGAAATCCCGTAATATGAAATCTGATCTAACTCCGAAATTTCGTCGTCTATTGAAGTGTCCCAAATTTGACTTTTTTCCGCAAAATAGGAAGTGAACGACTCAGATAATTCATCGGCTCCTTCATAGTCAAAGTCGGGGTTAAATCTAGCAATAATTTACAATTAATTAATAAAAAGAAATAAGGTTTGAAAATAAAACGATGAGAAATATTATAATATGCAACTAACTGTCCATATCCAGGATAACTAATTTTATCATCCAGAATAAGAAATCGTAATTTTCTGTTTCTAGTCGTCTTTGACTTATTTAGGTTATCATGCATAATTTGATCCCATTTTTCGTATAGATCAGCGTATATGAATCCTTCGATATATCTATGTTTATGATGTCTAGCATGCATATCCTTATTATGTATTTAAATAGAATAATATATTAATAAAAAGTCGAATGCGGGTATTAAATTCTTTTTTTTTTACCTTGAATAAATGAACCATTATACCAAATAGATCACGCTGTAAGCTCAAAATGGATCTTCCATCTTTTTCCTTGGTATACACGTAATCTCTGGGCTTAATATTACCCCGGATTTCTCTCAAACATTGAATAAATTCCTCTCGTGACATTTCTACAACATTGTAAGGAACATGATCTGGATCATCCTAAATTTTATAATATAGCTATGAGATTTGACAAATATAACTAACTTGGAGAAACATATTTATAATAAACAACTCTTAACCTTTCCGTACCGCCTTAATAATGTATGCCAGAATTTACGATGCGTTTCATTTGGAGACCAAGATTTTTGGTGAGCCAAATCCAATATTTGACCTAAAGTTTTAGCATTTAATTTCTCAAATTTGGTGACACAATAATAATGTCTTTGTATCAGAAGTATTATAAGGAAATTCTCTATATCCATCAAGGTAGGTGTACTTTCATCAGAAAATCGTTCCCTTGACCCAGAGTTTTCTTTGTTCAATGGTGATAAGGCTTGATCTTGAACAAGATCCTTTTGTGCCTATAGAATGGATGAAATAATCATTTTTATGAATAATTATGGAAATTAAATTCATCATTTTAATGTATTACCTTTGAATATTCTTGAAGTCTAGAAAATAGAGAACGAAGCCAATCCCGTAATTGTCCATTTTCTACATACCAAGCAGCTACCATCAAAAAACTGGATTAAGCGATCAAGTTAATATATATAGAGTGCATTTCATCATACTATTTAATAAATGAAACACAATTTTACCTATCTAAATTGTATGGTGAGTGGTGCGCAATCATATCAACTTGAAAAGCATTTTCGACAACCCATCTCAATTCTTCGTATTCCGAAATCGCATTTCTGTCATACTCCTTGCACAACACTTTTAATAAATGGCTGTGCCTCGGTAATACAAATCTTTGCATCACATCATCTTCATATTCGCTTTGTGGTCTCAACATTAGTTGCGCATCACTTTTCACATTAAGCCATCGATAATCAAAACAATACAACAAGGAAAACAAACGTTCCGAGACCTCGCTGATACGTTGACACATCAAGTAAGTAAAGTGATTAAATTTCTCTGGTGAGTCATTAAATGAATTCCTTCGATATCTTAGCGCGTCTTTCAATTTAGTATATGCGGCATGGAGACAATCTTGTGCTTTTGGAAAAGCGTTTGCTTTTTCTGATTGGAATAACCCAAGATTTGCGAGAATTAACTGAAAAAATGCGTCATGTCGGTGAATTTTGGACTGATATTCCTGTGTTACATATGTAGATGTGTTATGTAAAATTCATTATTTCTATGAAAAAGGAAAAGAAAAAAATAAAAATATAAAACTAACTTGATGAACCCGATTCCATTTTTCCTTTATTTTCTCATAATACATATATTCTTGAGACGTTTCGCAATGAGGAGGAGAGATAAACCCCCAAGATTTTACCTTTGAATAAAAATTTTTTAATAGTTGCCCCGAATCCTTGTAACTCCTTCATCATTAATAAAAATTTTGATTATTTAAATTTTCCAATTGCCATCAATAATAATAATAGAGACACAACCAACATGCCTTGATTCCAATGCGATTCGCACCAAATTATCATATGAGGAATAAAATAATTCCTGCGTATTTAGTATTTCCTTGTATTTATCGGACCAATGTGTTACATAAATCTCCCAAAAGGTGTCTTTGATGAAAGTATTCCATTCCCAACTTTCGGAAAAATGATAACGACTCTTTAATATATGTTTTCTGACACTTTGGATAATGATATCATAAGAGATATGTCAATTAAGGTGCAATTAATATAAAATCAATCTGAGACAAATTTAAATTGATTATACATTTTAAATTCGCGTTTTTTTAATAAAGCCCTCATAAGAATGATGTCCAATTCTGGATGCTTGTACTTCTCCTGAATAGTTATCAAATCGTTTTTAGAATCTTCGATCCATTCAATGTACGGAGCTAAAAAGAAACCATCGTGACAAGATCAGAACCCTTGCAACTAGAGTAATAATATCAGTATCTATGCAAACTCTATTTACCAATTGGTTTACCAACACGGTATTTCAAGCAGCCGCGCGTTTCTAATTGTTTTTCTGCATGGTTAACAAGAATCGTATATGCCTCAACATATAATTGTATAATTCGTTGATCGGTTTTTTGCAGTGTCTTTTCATTTCTAAAAATCGTTAATATCTTCATGATTAAGAGAAATTAAGACTAAGAAATCAAAAACATATTATTGCTTCATACCGTTTTAGAAAATATAAAGCCTTTTTCACATATTTTTTGATTTGCTTATCTTGTCTGGTCTTCTTTGCAAGTATTAAACAAATTTCAGCAGCTTTAATGATTAAAGAATCGAGGACGCTAGTCAATACACGCATCAAGTTGAGCTTAACAGTAAATAAATAGTGTAAATTTTTACCATCATATCCACAACTTTGTATATCAAAAGAGTAATAAATCCTAAATTTCGAAAACTTTATTAATTCTTTATAATTAAAATAATAGTATAATTATTCAAAGTGATATACTTTTCGTAATATTCTAAAGCTTTTTCATATTTTCTTTCAAATCGATATATTGTAGCAATTGCCTTGTTAGCCTAAAGGTAAAAAGTTCTAGCCGTTTAAGCCGATGTTTAAAGGCATAAGTATAACTATACTCAATCTTCAAAGACTACCTCGCTATCATACGGTTTAAGCGCCAACAGTTCAACTAAATAAGTTTTAGCTTGAGCTGTATCTCCCACTTTAAAATATAAATTCGCAATCGCCAGCCAATTCTCTTTAATTATTTGATCTGTCACTCCTTTTGTTAAAAGATTTGAAACAAAGTCTGTGACTTCTTGCGGGCTTTGAAATATAATTTTAAAAGGAAAAACAGAACTCATTTTAGACTGATTCCCCGCGCAACAAAAAAAATTATTTGTTAAACAAAAGCATGTTTTAATTAATAAACATGTGATTATTTACAAAAAATTTAAACCAATAATAATTATAAGGACGAAGTCAATATCAAAAAAAGATACCATAATCAATTAATTTTTTATATTTATGATACTTTCGAGATAATGTGACTCCGTCACAATACTATTTAGCATAATTTTTTATATCTATTTTTCTATTATCAGTTATTTCATTAATATTACATGCTCTTGTGAAATTTTCTAGCCAGCCAGTTAAATCTTGGTTACCTATACTAAAGGTTGATATTTCCATTATTCTGGTCTCTCTTTAATGGTTGCGCATTTATAGCATCCAAATCATTTTGTAATAAAATTTTTGTTGATTATTAATAAGTTAAAAAAATTGATCTAGGTCAAGGTCTTTAGATAAATCTTCCAATTCTTCTTGAACTTGTTCAAATATTTCTATTAATAATTTTGTAAAGTAATCAGTTCTTGAAAAATAATTAAAATAGCATTTGTAAGATGTTATTGATCTTTAAAACTGAATTGTATTTTATTATTAAATTAAAGATTATTTATGTAATATAAGATATAAAATATTGAATTAAATTTTGTTTTTTAACTTGATTTGATAAATAATAAATATAGTAATATATTAATAAAACTACAAATTTACAGTTTTTATTTATTTATGTTTTAATAAATATTACTTTAATAAATTATATAAATTATATAAAATTATTTATATAATAAATATTTATAAAAAGAAAATAGGATATATATATATAAATTAGTATAAAAAGATTTGTATCTTAATATAAAAATTAATAATTGCTTTTAATAAAAAATCATTCAAATTTCATAATTTTTTTATATTAAATAAAAAATAATCTAAATTAACTTTTTATACTATATTAACTATTTTATTATACTTTAATTCAATAATAAATAAAGCATTACTTTACTAAAAAAAAGAAACTAAAATAAAATTATTTTTTTAAAAAAAGATTATTTACTATCAATTTATAATATTATAACTTCAAATTATATAAACAGATTATTTTAGATTTAATAAATATATATTTTAATTTTATAAAAATTGAATTAATACTTATAAAGATATTAAGATATAAAGTTGAGTAATTAAATTATTTACTATATAACTTTTATATTATTTAATCTAATTTTATATAATAAAATTTAAGAAATAATAATTAAAAAAAGTTATTATTAGTAAAAATTTTTTATAAAAGATATATAATAAAAATTTAAATAAATTCTAATATCTAATAACTTAATTAAATAAGATAGAATTAAAATTTTATTTTAAAAAAATAATCTATTAATAATTATTTGATATATTAATCTTTTTATATTGAACTATATTAAGATATAATATTTTAAAGTTACTAAATTTTTGATAATTCAAATTTTTTATTATATAAATTATAATAAGAAATTTAATATTTGAATAATAAAAATTAAATATTTAAAAATATTTAAAAATAAATAATTTTTTAAAAATTTAATTTCAAATTAATAATATAAAAAGTTATTAATTTTATAATATATATTATTTAATAAATTTAAAAAGTTTAAATAAAATCAAAATTAATTTTTACATAAAATTTAAAAAGTTTAAATAAAATCAAGATTAATCTCTATATAAAATTTAAAAAGTTTAAATAAAATCAAGATTAATCTCTATGTAAAATTATTTTGTTAATGATTATAAATAAGATAAAATATAATATAAATAGTTTTAATTTTATAACTTATAGTTATTTTTGTTATTTAAAAGTATTCAGATCTGAAGGAAAATTATAAAATAGAAGATTTTATTTATAATAAAAGAAATAAATATAAAAAGTAAATAAATTAATAATTTTATTTTTAAAATACATATAATTTAATAAAATTAATTAACTTAATTCATATTTTCAAAAGGTAACTAATCATAATTTAATAAGTAATAATAATTATAAATATAATAAATTAAATATAAATAATAATAAGAAATAATCTAAATAGAATATCCTATTTTAGGAATAATCTTAAAAAATTATGTAATATAATTAATTATAATATTCATATAATTATTATATAATTACATAATTATATAATTAGTTATGTATTATACTAATAGAATAATTACTATTTTAATCATCCCTCTATTTTATTACTTTAATCATCTGATTTCAGTTATTTTAATTAGTTAAAATTATATTATATTATATATTATATTATATTAAAATATAATTTAAATATATCATATAATTATTTTATATTCTTCACATTCACCATCAGTTTTTACTGCAAAATAGTATCTAAAAACTCAAGAAAAGTTAAAATAAATGCAAAAATTTATATATAAAATATGACTTATGAATTTGTATATCAAAAGATAATAGGTTATGCAAAATTTAATTATTAAAACTTCTCAAGATAATAATTCTCTTATCATATCAATTGATATTATGATTCATGATATATGAGCAACTTCTTTAAATATCAAAATGTAATAATTTATGTTATATTAAAATCTAAACTTTTACTATAAATACAAAACAAGAAGAAATAATCATATTATCTTTAAATAAGAATATATATAAGAGCAAAAAAAAGCATATGTGTTAGTTATTTCTATTCCTAATATAGAATTTACTCCTCTAATATAAAATCCATTTCTCATATAGAACTGACTAATCAAGTACTTCAGGATAATGTAACTGAAGAAATAGCTAAATCAGATAATCAAATCTAAAGTACTATAAATGAAGATGAGATTGTTAGTTATAATTTTAATTAGTTTAGTATTAGATTTCTTGCTAATTTATCTTTATCTATATATAAATAGCTATGAAATTATAAATCTTTATATTAGTTATATCTTTAAATTATAAGAAGAAATTAATAGTATTATAAAGATCTATAACAAATGAAAAGGATTTGGAGTTATCTAAAAAAGATTAGAGTGATATGAAGAGAGATATATAAAGTATCTTAATTATAGATTCAAATTTAGTAGTCATTCTTAAGCAAAAAAAAAGTTAATATTTATAATTATCATGATTATAAATTAAAATGACAAGAATATAATTGGCATATTAATATTAACTCTTTACAAAATATTTTAGTTATAACTCTTATTACGTTTGATAATATACATAACTATCTATTAGATATCAATACTCAATATTATATTTCAATATATTAGAGAATTCCTAAGGATATTTTTAATAAAATTCAATTTTTAATCAAAAATAAAAATTTAACAATCAGTACTTAAAGAAGGTTATTGAAGATAAAGTTTTCAGATAAATCTATTCTTAATCATAATCTTGCAAATGCTATACAAAAATTCAAAATTTATACTGATGAAAATCTGAATGCATTTCATCTACTAATAACTTTTATCAAATAAAAATTACATAATCATTAATAGGCTATTGAGTTCAAGCTAGATAATAAAAATTAACTTACCTGTCTTTTTTGAATATTATTAGCACAGATTGTTCTTTAATTAGAATACTATGATATTTTCTTAAATAATAATATCACCAAAACAAACTGATATTAAATATTACTTTCACTTTTTCTTGTCATGGATAATAATACAAGATTATATCTTGTGGCACAAGCTCTCATATCAGATAAAATAATCAAGTTCTATAAATAAATCCTAGAATACATCAAAAAAATAATAATAACTGAGCTATTAATATTCATTATAGATGCAAATTCTGCAGTAGATATCATAATTAGATAAATATATAAAACTATCTATTCAATTTATTGTATTTTTCATATTAGTGAAAATCTATCAAAAAATCTCAAATCTAAGCTTTATAATTAATATAAAAGCTTTATTCATAACTTTTTCCTATACCATAATAACTTATATAAAGAAGATTTCTATAAATAATAATCACAACTTGTTAAAATATATTCTAATATTAAAAATTATCTAATAAGAGCACTCTATTCTAATTAATAAGTATGAGTTCAGATATTTATATCAAAAGTATTCACAATAGGAATTCAAACTATCTTCCATATTGAAGATCTTAATTATATTATCAAATGTATATTAATAGCAAATAGTAGTTTGTATAATCTTGTAAAAGTACTAGATACAAGATTTTAAGATAAAACATAATAGAATTATTTTTTTGAATATTATATTATATTATCTTATATAGGAATTATATTGATTAATTATGATATTTTTTCAGAAGTTAACAAATAAATAACTAAATATCTTATTTTCTCATATATTATTTGTCAAATAGTTAGAAATAGCATAATATCTATATTTTATTGCAGATTAAATAGATATACTGAATATTCAAGATGAGATAATAAGATCTAATATAAGTATTTGAAGTTATTTAAGTATAATCTAACATTTTTATTATATTTAGGATTTCAATCTTGGTATGATAAATGAATTTATTAAGAACTTATATAATATCAAGCAAATTCTATTGAAATCAATAATTGCTAAGATTGGTAAAGAAAATATTCAAGAAGTATAAAAAATCAAAGATATATAATCTAAAGACAAATATTTACATTTTATGATAGTAATTGATTTTATTTCTTATTTTTATTTATACATGTTTAATATATTTTATGATATTATTTATCATCATTATTTTTAAGTTATGATATATTTGAGAATTACAGAATTTCATATTCAAATAGTATCTGTTTGATAGTATAATAATGAATAAAAAGATAAAAATATAATTATAAATATCTATTATTTTGCCAATTAAGAATTGGTGAGAAATCAATTGAATAAAATACTTATATCAAATCTCTCAATCATATCTAAGATTATAATATCTATTTTATGTTATATAATATAACAAAAAACTAAATATAGAAAGATATAGAAACTGATATGATATATAGTTTAACTTTACTATTAATCATAATAACTATAGTAAAATAATGGTATAGTTAAAAGAGTTTAT